CATGTTGGAATCGTAACGTCAGAAGCGAGGAATGATACGTTAATTTATGCTGCAAGCCATTTATAAATAAAGACAATTTGGGTAAATCTAAATGACATTGCTTTAAAATACCTATAAAAGGCAGAAACTGTCCTTTTCTCCCTTAATAATCAGTAAATGGTCGTAAAAGGTAGGTAAAGTGAGCCTAACTTCAGGCAGAAACACACGGTTTGAACAGCTGTTGAAATGAAATATACGCTTTTACGTATAAAATTCCAGGATAACTATAGTTTCTGCCCATTTTTAGGACTGTCATAAGTACGAGACACGTCACATTTTCACAATTAAGCAAATAACGAAATGGCATGCAGCACAAACGTCGTCAAAACATCACTTTTCCACGCCTATAAATTCAGCCATTTATCGTGGCGAAGCGCTGTAATACACACACAAGCACGAACCTATGTGCTCGCTTTCGACACGCCGAGAGTACGTGTACATGGGCTCATGCTTGTGTATGTAGCTACCAATTTCACCACATTTCGCCAGGCCGCCGACTGATTTTGAATCGTATGCTGACTCAGGAGCCTTAAGGATACGTTCATTTGATAATTATTCTTGATTTTTCTTTATTAAAAAATATAAATTTCTTTCAAATTATCAATTTAGGTGAAATTTTACCCGAATAAGTGTTTACCTTGTAATTATAATATATATTTACTTTTCTATTTTATATGTGTCTTAATTTGACAGAAAATATACATAGGATAAGATTTTTACGTTTATTTGTAACATAAAATTATATAAATTTAGAATTAAATATCTTAAACGTTACGGTAAAAGTCAATGAACTTCTTTCAGATATTGTTGATATGATTAATTTTTGTATTACATTTATATCATAGACTTATATTTCATCAAGCGTAAAAACTTCCTTAATTATTAAATCACTTTTAAGTTTTACTGGTTCCAAGCCAAGATAATTAAGTGTACATACGATAGATAAATTAAATTGATCACTGCAGTGTTCATCTGAAACATGTACCTGCTACGATTTAATTTTTCGCTTTTGTTTATATATCTTCAGTACTATTCTTGTGAAAATTTGGAAATGGCAAAGTTTATACGTTTTATCCTAATTCGGTTCTATTTTGCTCGTTTCTCTTCTTGAATTCAAACACCGTCGGAAACGGCGTTCTCGAAGAATCCGTTTGGGAGTCTCATTTTACACAACAAAGATTCTCGATCCGAGAATAGATCACTCCGACTACTGTCGGGACCAGATGAAAGAGTAATAAAGATGGCCCGTTTCTGAATTCTGATCCTATCTTTTTTTTTTTTTTTTAAGAATGATTCTCGGAACTCTTCTTGGAACATATAATTAATTCTACTTTCGGTTTCTGTTAGAAGACTTTATCATATATGTATGATGGAAACTAGACTGCTTATTTATTACGTCACCGAATCAACTGTGAAGCTTGCTATTCATGTGCAAGTGCTCGAATGGTCGTTTCGTTAATACGACGAAGAAATAAATTTTTACTACCGTTCTGCGAACGATATAAAATTTAAAGTCTTTTGATAACTGCCCATACATATTTGATTGATTTTTGAATTATTTTTTTACGATTCCTATGAATTGTAAAACGTTGGAAAATATTTTTTACTGATTTATATGAATTGTGAAACAATGGAAGATAATCAATAACTTTTCTGTAATATGACTTTTTGCAACTAGATATAAAGGTATATTGTGCTATTAATTACGTAATGCATTGATTAAAATATTTTGATTAAATCAATAAAAACGACATTTTACTCAACAAAAATGACATTTTAGTGAGATCAAACAGAATTTCTGTTTATGATAAATTTTTTTGGCTTCATCCAAATATTCTTATTTTTCGGCCTTTTTACAATCGCTAATAATAAAATGTTAACGACTATCAAGCTAATTATCATTATTTGTTAAGACATTAAGATATTGTTAAATAAAAAAATTTTGTGATAAATTTTGGACAATTTTATAATAAATTGATAACATATTCATATGAAATAATACAATGAGCTCTACTTATTTTCTACATTTCTTGCATTACGTTTAAAAATAATTGGCACGAAAGATTTTATCTCATTGCAACAATCATTCCTTATGAAGACGTATAGCATCTACAGCATTAGAAGCAAACACGTCCATTATCTAATACCGAGAGGAATGCTTCTTCAACTTTATTGTTCGTTAAGATGACAAGTAAATTATTGCTCGCTGAAAAAGAATGAATGGAAAATGTACAGGAGAAGTAATTCTCAATACCAGTTTTATTGATGTTTTATTACAAAATTTTCAAGACTTTTACGTTCTGTATAATAAAGAATCAACTAATTAGTTATAGTTGATAAGACTTGCATTTTGCACAGTTATTTAAAATCCAATTTTTAAGTTATATTACGTAATTTCTTAAATAAAGAAAATTTAATTTGTATGAAATTAATTGTTCGTTTAAATAGAATAACAATATATCATTGAAATTATCGAATAATTCGCTCGTTTTTTTCACGGTAAAATTATTTTGTACTATTATATTATGCGTACTGAAAGTTTTTTCTCTCTAGCTTGTAGACGAGCTCGTCTGTAAGCATACGAATGCACTTTTGCATTGCGGTTGAGTAAAGTGCGACTTGAAGGAGAGACTTCGACAATGGATATCCATTTCGTGTGTTCAAACAAAAGCGTTTTGCATTTTACTCTTTTTTTTTCATGCACATTATTCACGTCACCAGGTAACATTGGAAGGTACGAAAGCACGCATTGTTCTTTGTTTGTGCATTGTAGAAGTAGAGTATGTGGACCTAACATTATCAAAATGTCAGCAATCAAGTTTTGAAAGTGCTATCGTGCACCATTATTATATTTGGAAAATAATACCGGAATATTATTATTTTTTTATTAGATATTATTTTTATAATATAAGATAATGTAATATAAAAAATAATATCTCTTTTATCTTTAGACATTTTAGAAGATTACTTTTTAATTACGATGTAAGAATTCTGGTCTCTACTTGGTTCATTGTTTGTAAGACAGAAAGCTGTGAAGTGGAAGACCGAAACGATAAAAGAGGTTTGGCGTCACGGGGTGAATTAGCTGGCGCTTGGCCGGTTCGCGTGTCACGATCGCGATAACTACGTTTTTGCTGACATCACTTGGTTAGCTCTCGGTAATTGCTGAAAATAGTCCAGATGAATCGTCACCGATGGCGATTGCCCGACGCGTGAACGCACGAACTTCATCGGGAGGACAATGTCGAATACCGGAGGATGACAAAAATAGCCTCGACCGCTCGGATTCGACTAAATTTGCACAACCGAGTGCATCTTCAGCATTATTCTTAAGAGATCTACGACAATCGCGAGAGTTGCTTTTACTCTCACGGAAAACATGTCAAAAGGGTGACGTGTTGCAGCTGTTTATACACGCGAAGTGACACGCATGCATATAACATGTTTGAATTACCAACGTACTCGTATTATATAAAAAAATTGTGTAATAAAAAATATTATTGGCTATCTTCAAATTAATTTAAAATTGCTGATTAATTTTAGAGATTTTTGTCACAGACAAATTTTCATTATCAGACTGAAAACTTCCACTGTTTATATATTTTATTAATCATTAACTACAGCTCTGAAAACATCCAAGTTTTAAAGTGTCCTGTTTGAAGTAAGAAGTGAACCTTCAATTTAAAATTGATTGATAGAGGAAGGCTCAAAATTTTTTTTACAGTTTAAAACCTTATAGTACTAATCATATAGACAAGTACAACCGTCTAAAATTTTTTGCCTTGGGTCAAAATGATCTGTTGCTGTAGAAGAAAGACATACATTTGTCGTGTTTCTCTTGGACGTAATTGAATATCGCTGCTGATTTATTTACAAGTTGATTATTTCAACTGAAACTAAGTATTAGTTCTTAGTAAGAGCGTTTTTTATACCGAAGAAATTAAATTGTTTACTTAAATTAAATTCGTTACTTCCGCGCACATTTCCGCATTTTAATAATATCATACCTACATGTTTAATAATATTAATATGTTCTAATAACATACATATGTTCTGCTTTTAAATTTTATTCTGATAGACGAAGCTTTGCCAAAAGTTTATACTAACTATAATTAATACCATTCCATATAAAATTCAGATTCTGCAGGTATTCGTGATCAGTTGGCAATCGCTCAACATGTGAATCATTGCTCGGTGAAGATCTATTAGCACTTTCGTTGCGTAAACACGCAACGCTTTTTCGTTAGCGTTGTTTCCAGACACGCATTGTGAAAGAACGCGACATCTTGATTCCATAAATGCATTGTGGCAAAATATTTCTTTAATAACGCCCACTCGATCTTACTCATATCGGATAATTGAGCGGTGATCGATCTGAGGATGAATAATAAGTCTTTACGCAACTGGAGGGAAAACTTAGTCAGTGAAATCTCTTCGCGAAAGAAAGGAAGTTACTCACTCATGAATAATAAATTTCGAGCTGACAATTGTATTTTTATGAATTAAGTATGACTCATGCCGTGCGTATTTAGGAATGTGATAGCAATTTTAAAATAAGATTTCGTCTCTCTAAATTTGTAAATTTCGCAGTATCAGAAAATAAGGAGGATATCTTTACATTAAATATGATAGTAAAATTTAATCTTTCGCTAATAACAATCTTTTGTTAATTGATACTGCTAAAAATTAAGAAAAAGGATTCATAAACATAACACATTTGAATTACGGCCAATGTTTCAACATTACCTATCCAACAACAGAATATATAGTTTACCCTTACAGAAATTTAATATTGAAAGATAGTGATTAATTACTTCTTTTGTATTAAAAACACTGTTCTTTAGTGCTTTCAAGTAATTTTTAATATTAAGCTGGCTAGTATTAAATTGAATTTTTGTAAAAGAGCTTTTGTATGGAGCTTACGCAGAAAATTAATCTTTCTTCTCTCGTTTATTTCGCAGATTCTTCAGACATCGTAGACTGTAAATTAAAGTTGATCCTCGGTTTAATATGGACCCTGATCCTGCACTATTCGATCTCTATGCCCATGTGGGAAGGCGACGATGGCGAGGACAAGGGCGCTACCCCGAAGCAAAGGCTGATGCACTGGATCCAATCGAAGGTGCCGGATCTACCGATCTCGAACTTTACCTCCGATTGGAACGACGGCCGCGCGGTGGGTGCGCTTGTTGACGCGGTCGCACCTGGCCTTTGCCCGGATTGGCGGGATTGGAACCCGAAAGATGCAGTCCAGAACGCGTCCGAAGCGATGGGCCTCGCTGACGACTGGCTCAATATTCCTCAGGTTTGCCGCAATATTATATATTACATTCGATTTTAAACGAATTAAAGAATGAAAAAGGGATGAAAAAGGCTAGGCTTGATTAATTAATGCCACATTAGACTTTATTAATTGAGGGGATGGGCGGAGTAAAGGCGGAACAATTCTACTTAGGCAATTAGCTTTTATATGTATTATTAATTTCACGATGGAAAATGGAAGCCACTTAGTTTCTATTCAAAGAAACTCAACGAAGCCCAAACCAAATACAGCAGTTATGATAGAAAGCTGCTAGCTATTTACAACAGCTTAAAGTTCTTCAGGCATGTGGTGGAGGCACGACAAGTAATAGTGAAGACTGATCATAAACTACTGGTCTACGCTTTCAATCAAAATTAATCTTCTATTATTTATATTAATTATAATAGAAAAGTAACATGTAGCTTCTCTTAAAGATATTACATAAATTCATTTGATATTATACCCATTTGTGTGTATAATAAAAAAGTAGCAAGTTATTTTATTAATATCAAAAGATTTTGTAATTAGGCCTTTATTCCGCCCATCTCCTCAATTATGTGCTACTAATTTCTTAAGATGTTATTAAAATAGATTTAATTTGATGGATTATATTTTAATTGAAGATTATCTGCGGAAAGAGCTAATTAAGAGTCAATATAATGGCATAAAAATTAGAAGATATCAATATCGATAAATTAATTTTTAATCCCACGGCTAAGAAGCGTTCCATAAATTATGTCATTCTCGTTGCAGCTCATTAAACCCGAAGAGATGATAAATCCAAACATCGACGAGATGTCGATGATGACATACCTATCACAATATCCCAGCGCAAAATTAAAACCAGGTGCACCTCTGCGCGCCCGTACGAACCCAAACAGGTAGGGATAAAAACTCTGTATTTTTTAAAGCGTCATTATTATGGTTTTATATTATGTATTTACTTTTGTATTTATTTATTGCAAACAATTTCCTTTATTTTAAATACCTTATATAATTTTTTTGTTTCCTAAAATTACATTGTTCACAAAAAATGTTACAATTTGTGCTGTTTATTATAATTTTGATCGTTCAAGGGTGATCTGATACGATTACAAATGATCTTTTCTTTTTTATTTTGATGGTATGGTACTCAGTAGAGATATAAGAGATGAAGTGCGCGCGTAGATCTCTGTTACAGTGATTGTGATTAATTAATGAATTTATTTCATTTCTCGGTCGCAGCATCCCACCGCCGCGGTAAGTCGCGCAATGATCATGTATTGTGACGTATAATGGTTTTTGCGCAATTAATGTCCACCGCCTTGATGAGATCTACCTCTTAACCCAACACTCCTAATTTTTCCTTTGTACATATACGTACGTAAACGCTTGATAGAATAATTAAACTGCGTAGTGCGCGGTTAGCGAATACACGATTTGCAAACTTCCTGAAGAGAAAACGAGCGAGAGTTTGATTAATACGTTATTGACAATAATTTTATAGCTTATCGAGCAATTAAATAGATTTCTTTTTTCAAAAAGCTTACTATCTAAAATTTTTCTAATGAATTATCACTCCAAAGAGTGAATTCTCACTCTGAAATTCTTTTTCAAGACTGGCTCAATTTTTATTTTAAAGAATTTAGAGAGTGTGTAATACTATTAATTAATCTCTCTCTACATACGTGTATACGTGAAAGTTTCACGAATTGAACTAACCGGATAACGAGTGTCCGCAAGTCTGCAAAATGTCGCGCGTTTGCAAATTTGATTTTGAAAAAAAACGACGCAAATCGCGCAACATTATAGCACAAAGCAATGCTTGTAACCGTCTGGCAAATGGATTTATTTAACGTATTGATGTAATAACGTCGCGGCCACTGACTGGCAGTTCGCAAAGTGTCTTTTCTCACAGTGTTTTCTTGTGCAGAGTACGTGCTTATGGTCCCGGTATAGAACCAACCGGTTCAATCGTTGGTGCTCCTGCCAATTTCACCGTGGAAACCTTCTCCGCCGGCAAGGGTAACGTTGATGTTGTCGTCGATGATCCCAAAGGGAATAAATTACCGGTAAGGCCCTAAAATAGCGTTTAATCATGTATTCAAATATAAAATATTTCGATATTTTAAAAAATTGCCCTGAATTATGTAAATTGTTTCCAAAGAAAGATTTAGAATAGTTTTTTTATATTCTAAATATTTAAATATTTAAGAAGATTGAAAATAATTTTTTTTACAATCCTTTCATGAGTCCGAAATGAGAATTTGTTTTGTAACTCATTGTAAGTAAATATCAATTGACAATAATATGTTACATCGACATATAATTTACTACTTAACTGTTACGTGCAACATTTATCTAACATTCATTACATATTACAATTATATTAGTAAATTGGAAATTATAATATTCATGTAATGTTACTGTTAGTGCTTACCGAGAAGTAATTAAGCTTATTGGAAGCTTATGGAATTATGAAAGGATTATGAAATTATATAAGTATATTTTGAAAAATTACTAGTTTGATTTATTTCAGTTAGAAATATTAATAATATTTTTTTAATTTATTTGATTATCAAGACGAAGATGGCAAAAAATTATTGTTAAGAACAAAGGCAATTTTTTATTTTATTTTAGAAATAGATCAGACTTGCAAAATTTTTTTTTTAATATTAAATAGATATACATAGTCCCAACAGAATCTATTGAGCACATTGTCCGAAGTCGGAAAATGTTTGTCGCATTCATGATAATTACGCCACAGGACGTGGACACGTGTGATGTAATGACTATTTATGTGCCGTGTGACTATTACGCATTATCTGAATGTACGAGTTATCAATACTACAAGTATAATTCATACATTTAGATAATCTTCAACTTCGTCATATACTATATAAGTTGAACGAACGCCGTTTTTACTCCTCGCGTTATATTTTAATGATGCCGGCTCGATTTCGTTTTCAAGGTCGATATCAGATTCAACAAGGACAGGAATCTGACATACTCCGTGTCATATACTCCAAAAATGGAAGGTCCGCACAAAGTGAAGGTACTCTTCGCTGGCAGAGAGATTCCGAAGAGTCCATACACCGTTAATGTCGAAGGACACGCTGGTGATCCGAGCAAAGTCACGGCAAGCGGGCCGGGTCTGCAACCGGAAGGAGTCGTCGTGAATAGACCTACTTTCTTCGATATCTTTACAAAGGACGCCGGTCGCGGTGTGCCTGAAGTCATCATCTTAGATCCGCAGGTAAAATATGATGTCTTTTAACATCGAAACGTCCTGTGAACATTCTGCCAATTCTTTAGAACGCCATGTTATAATCCAGATTTATATTCTGTAGAACTTGTTATTATTCTTATTATACATAATTAAATTATATTATTACAATGATCCTTACTATTTCATTAAAATATTTTTTTTACATGTGATTTTATTACAGGGTAGCAAAACCACGTCGGTAAAGCTGCGTCAGACCTCGGCAGACGTCTGGAGATGCGAGTACGTATCGCCAGTGACGGGTCTACATTCCGTCAACATATTCTTTGCCGGCAAACCGATACCTAGAAGTCCCATTGGTGTAAATATTGCACCGGTTTCCGATGCGAAGAAATGCAGAGCGTACGGACGAGGACTGTTGCCTACTGGCGTCCGCGTCCAGGACATCGCCGACTTCGTTGTCCTCACTAAGGATGCTGGTGAGGGTGTACCGGACATTCGCGTAATCGGCCCGGGAGGCGTCAGTCAACCAGTGCAGTAAGTTCTTATTATTTTAATTTGTAAAAACACTTTTTGTTACTTTTAAAATTTTACTTATGTCACATCTCTTGTTTTTATATTTTATTATTTTTATATAATCTTTTATATGTTAATGAAAAAAATCAAACATAAATGAATGGAAAACGTTATATTCCATTAAAACGCTAATGGGACAAAACTCAATTGTCAAGAATTGTAAGAATTGTAAATGAAATTATAAAAACTCTGTTTACTCAAATTTGTAAAACAAAAAAAATTATAAAATATAGTAAATATAATATGTTAGAATATCTTGTGCGAGATGTTTTGCTTTAAATTTAGTTATCGATTTGATCAACGACATTGAATTATTATACTTTAGAATGTCCAAAACCGACGCTACGACTTACAAATGCCACTATACGCCGGTTAAGGAAGGCCGTCACGTAGTAATGATCACATATGGCGGTAAAGAGATTCCCAAGTCGCCCTTTGAGGTCAATGTAGGTCCTTATAAGGAGTCCAACATCAAGGCTTTTGGACCTGGTCTGCACACCGGCGTCGTCGGTCATCCAGCGAAATTTACAGTAAACACAAACGGTGAGACCGGCGCCCTTGGCTTCTCCATCGAAGGCCCATCCAAAGCGAAGATAGAATGCAACGATAATGGCGATGGAACCGCCGATGTTTCTTATTTGCCTACCGCGCCAGGCCAATACGCGGTCCATATCCTCTGCGATAACGAGGACATTCCTAAATCGCCTTATATCGCGACTATTTCGCCGAAGACCGATTTTGATCCAGAGAAGGTAAATTCGAGTCTTCATTTCACTATTAACATTTCTTTGTATATAACTTTTTTTTTATATAAACCTTTTTTAATATAAATTTTAATGTATATATATTTAATATTGTATATAGTATTTTATATATATATATATATATACATATAAAATAAAAAACATAAGGTTTTACAGGTTTTTTATATGCAATAATTTTAGTACTAACTAAATAAATGATAAATGCTTTTATTGACTCACGACAAGAAAGAAAGATATAGAATATGCTTTGTATATAGGTTGAAGTTTACGGACCAGGAATTCAGCCAGAAGGTGTTGCCAAAGACGAACCGACGAATTTTACGATTGATGCGAGAGAAGCCGGTCAGGCGGCTCTGGAAGTTGCCATTCAAGATGCTCTTGGAAAAGAAGTTCCTCTTAGATTAGGCGACAACCGAAATGGCACTGTTCAAGCGTATTACACACCTATATCTAGCTCCCCACATGTTGTGATGGTACAATTCCAGAATATTGATTTTTAAAATCTTGAATCGAACTTTTATTGCTTATTATTTGTGATGATTTCTTGAATCATGCTGTTTTTGCCAGCATATAGCCAGAAAAGATTAAAGTAGTCAGGGCGAATTTTTTTTAAGCAGAATAAAATCTCGGTTCTAAAGTCAAATTAAAATAAATACACAAAATATTGTATAAAATATGGTTAAGATCAATTACGAGCTTACGAGGTTTTCGCAAACCTTGTAACTTAAAAAAAATATCCATAGAAATCTCAAAATTAAGTATTATGTTAAAATACTCAATAAAAGCGTGATTTATGAAGTTTCAGTTTAATTTGATTTCTTAAACAGTGTTATGTAAGATGCTTTGTGTTTAGCACAAAGTATTTATATCTGTACGTATAACGTACAGATATAGACACTTTGGAAGAAATGTACTAAGATACAGGTATTAGAAAAATAAAATACCTAAGTATAGATATTTTATTTAGTATCTCAAATGTATTTAGGTATAAGTACTTTCATTTATTAACATAAAACTTCAGAATAAATAAGCATATATCCGCACATAATATTTATGTATTATATATGCATTTTATATGTATATATGTAAATATTCTATGCAAGTAAGTTTAACACATCCGCGCGTTGAACGTGCATTTAGTACAGAAAAAAGTATTAGCTAAAAAGTAATTAAACTATACGTAATTATAAGTACCGGTACACAAAAATTGTATCTATTTATAGATATAGATACTAGAAAAAATAAATATCTCTACTGCATAACATTGTTTTTAAAGATATCTTTTTCTTCAGGTGAATTATGGCGGAGTGGCTACGAAGAAATCTCCATACAGAGTTAAGATAGCTTCGCCCTTGAATCCTGCTATGGTCTCCGCCTTTGGCCCCGGTCTTGAGAAAGGTGTGAAATCTAACGTTCCCACACATTTCAATGTCGACTGTCGCGAGGCTGGCCCCGGTAAATTGGACGTTAAAATGCTGAATCCTGAAGGCCGAGAACTTCCAATTTCATTAACGGATAATGAAGACGGCACGTACGTCGTGGACTACATGCCACCACAGCCAGGAAACTATACAGTGAATCTCAACTATGGCGGATTGAAGGTACCTCAATGCCCCATTAAGATCAACGTTCAGCCTCATGTGGACGTGTCCAAGGTTAAAGTGGATGGTCTGGCACCAAGTGAGTACAATTACTGAAAATTTGTTAAGTGTTGCCTAATATTTCGATTACTGTATGCTATCGATTTATTTAAAATCAGATTTAATTAGATGTGTTACTAATCACACATATGTGCTCAAACCAAGATATTATATGCAACATTTTGTCCCACGAAATTGGGGACAATAGTGAATACTCTTAAACGTAATATCGCATCTTTTAAAATGATAGTAAACTTGATAGCGTGTTTTGATAGTCTTTTATTATTATTCTGATTTTTATAATACATGTTAAATAAAATATAATATTATTTTATTTTTCAAATTACTACAATATGTTGAATTTATAAATTAACTTAATTAATAATGCAATACGAGCACATGCGTAGTGTACTATCTAAATTCTTTGAAGTAAATGTCACTCCAACAGAATGAAATCTCCCTCCAAAGAAGTGAAAATTCAGTTACTCTTTTTCGAGAATGGTAGAATTTTCACTCTTTTGAAGTGAGAATTTACCCTAAGGAATTTGGAGATTAAATAGACTATTAATTATTAACTATTATTTTATATTATAATATAAAATTAATTATTATTTATTATTAACAAGAAATAATCAAAGATATTTATCATTATTTATCATTATTACTGGATAATATATATTGCGTTATATATCTGGTTTGAGTGAAATAATTTTCTCATAGTAAAAATTTTATATTTATTATATATTTTAATTTAGTAATTTGTTAAGCACGGTTAGAGAAGGAGTAATAAGAGTGCAATTAATTTTATGATTAAAATAAGATCTTGCACTTAGATAGATATATCAGCAATGCATTAGTTTGAAAATGAATCGTGCTAAAATCGCGATCCTTCCAGCGATCAGTTGAGAAAATAATTCTCGTCTTATGGCATATGGCTGATATTCTTTTCGGGAACATTTCCCGGGACGTTATCTAGCCTAGATATTCGAAATATACTTTACCAAGGTCTTCCCTCGGATAGATGTTTTGCTGGAGTGCAAACCAGCGCGAACTGATGTTTTATTTATAACGGCGTTCGCGAATTCCCTACAGTTGACACGCACACAATTTCGCGTTTCGTCTAAAAATATTGCACTTCGATGCTCCACGCGATGTTCCTTCGATGTGACTTTACCTGGAAGGAAGGCAGTTCCTAACATTGAATGTGTCACGATAAAATTCAAAGCGAATAGTAATGCGTCCAAGAAATATACATTTCTATAATAATAAATAATTAATAATGAGTTAGAATCACAAGGCCATATGCTCTCTAAATTCTTTGGAGTGAAATTTTACTCTAAAGAGAATTGACCCAGTCATGAAAAAGAGGCTCAATTTTCAATCTTTAAGGATGAGAGTAAAATCTTTTACTCTCTAGAATGACAGTTCATTCTAAAAGTTTTAGAAAGTAAATAAATCAAGTAAGAGAGAGAGAGAGAGAGAGAGAGAGAGAGAGAGAGAAGTGCCACTTACAGTCAAAGTCGGATGTTGAAATAATACGTATTTAAATAAATTTTATCACAATGTCGATTACTTTTCGGATTTGCAACATAATCAGATTGACATAATAATAAAGAACAAATCATTATTCCTACACACTGGATAATATATTTATTGTAACTGAATGCACTTTTAACTAAGACACGTTATCAGTTTCGTAACCGCGGAAGATCTTTTTATTTGAAATACGCTCTGCCTAATTTACACGCGCATTGTGGGCTTATGTATGTAGCAAGTGGTTTTCTCTCACAACTTGATGCATATCCAGTATTTGAAATCTAACGTTACGATAGGCTTTGCGCAACGAATGTCCGGCCGTCACTTGCTGGTGAGTGTTGATCGTAAGCTACACGTTACAATTAATCGTCCAAATCTCTCGATCATGCTTGCACGTTTAGTTCATCCTCGAAATTTTTGGAAATAGAATATCACATTGAAGAGTGAAATTTCGCTCTTTATAATGACAATTCACTCAACAAGTTTTAGAGAGCATTATTCAATTTTTCTTCAATCATCTCTTCAACGAGAATCAACGATAATTTCACCAGCAAGTCGGCGCGACGTCCGTTCGTTGCTCACGGGCAGTCGTCCCGTCGCGCAAGCACAAGCGAAAAATGCATCGCGGCTCACCACGAGAACCCGCAAACGTCCTCGCAGCGGCCCCGGTGAACAGCCTGCAGCAATTCCGCGTGATAACGCAGGAGGCGGGCAGGGCGGCGGACTTCCAGGTGGCGATCACGACTCCGTCCGGCAATCGGGTCAAGGCGCACGTGGTGCCGACTCACGAGGGCTACCTGGTTAACTTTACCCCAACCGAGCTAGGCGAATATCTGCTGGGAATCAGCTTCGGCGGCGAGCCAATCTCGAATCAGCCGTATCGGCTGACCTGCGTTCATGGCTCCGATCCGGGCAAGGTGCGGGCTTCGGGACCTGGTCTCTCCCACGGTGTGGTGAACAAGCCGGCCGAGTTCGTGATCGACACGCGTGGAGCTGGCCAAGGTGGTCTCGGCGTGACCGTCGAGGGTCCTTGCGAAGCCGCGATAAATTGCAGAGACAACGGCGATGGCACCTGCTCCGTCGCTTACCTGCCCACTGAGACCGGTGACTATGGTATCAACATCACCTTCAACGAACAGCATGTGCCGGGCTCGCCTTTCCAGGCCATTGTCGTACCGGATGCGGATCTATCCAAAATCAGAGTCAGCGGGAACGGCATCCAGCCACACGGTACCGTTAAGGACGTCAGCACGGAGATCGTTTTGCGATTGGAAATTGAGAGAGTGCTGTGATCTGCTCGTCTCTAATTTGCGTGATGAGTTTTGTAACGCGTCTCGGGATTTTGTAGGAATGGAATCCTTTAAAGGATTATTTCTCCATCGTCGAGATGTTCCTATTGACTTTCAAAGAACATGCATACATTAGATATTCGTGCATATATGAAATGAATTTTTCAAGTTGCACGAATGTTGTGATTTGATCTTGAAAAAAACTCGTTGCGACTACGACGAGGAAAATATTTTTATCGATAGGAAAAGATTAGAAAATCCCGATAATTATTCTGAGACGCGTTGATGTTGCGATGCATGTGTGTCATGATTGCACTTTTATCATTGATTATCATGACATTTCCTGCTTAGGATTTTCCGATCGTAACCATAACATACACACTTGTTGTAAGACACTTGAATGAGCTTGAAGAATACTAGAGGGCATGTTTGTAAAAAGTATGTACGAAACAATAATTTAAGTTTATTTCTTTTTACGAGCATGGCCTCATTTTTAGTTTAAAATCCAGTATGCCACAAATAATAATCTTATATGTTATTGTGATTTGTTCTGTGTTAATCATTTAAAGACAGCAATTACGTTTTGCAATATGCGCTTATGCATTGTCATTTTAAATAATTTATTAAATTAGGTACTACGTATTTAAAACAAATAGATGTTTAATTAAATCACGAAAACGGTCAGGAACATAATATTGTTAAATAAGAAATATATTTAAAAATTATACATCTATTATAAATTTATTATGAGAGGTATTAGTAATATAAAAGTATGTTTGATAAATTTAATATTAAAATTTATTAAAGATATGTACAATTTTATATTATTATTTTATGTCAAATTTCAATCTGAAATTATGCTAAATTTAAAATACAAATATATATCTTTGCTATTATAAAATTTGATTTTGAAGAAATCTACTTCTAGTTTCTATATTAAAAGAACAGTTTTTCTGAAGTATCTAAAAATTTAATCAGATACAGGTCTAAAAATAATTTTATATATATTGGATCATCAAAATAATTATATTAAACACTCAAGTTGGTTGCTGGAATGTCAAAATTTTTTGTAGCATTGCTCATCATTTTTAAGCATCCTACACCATTATTTCGATATCCAACAAAGTTATTTTCAAATCTATATCTAGCTAAATTTTTTAATACTTTAGTCTTTCTGTGTATTATAAAAATACTTCACTACATCATTAAGTATCAATCTCGAATTTTTACGCATGAAACAAATATATAATTTAAGATATATAATTTTTTAGAATGACAAAGTTTAATTAAAAAAAAATATTACTATTTCATATATGTATGTGTATATTAGATGCATTTATTAAAAAAAAAAGTATTCGAGCGTTTTTATTCATGTTATCGCATTTTGCAGGATTATTCGTGAACAAGCAAACGTCATTCACGATAGACGCGAGAGAGATCACCAAGTCGAAGACTGACGACGGTAAGGTGTCCTGTGTCATAAATAATCCCAGTGGCGGTAAAACCGAGAAGCTCATCATCCCCCAGGGTGATGGCACTTACTGCGTCAGTTACACGCCTTTCGAGGAGGGTTGCTACACCATTGACATTCTTTACGACAACGTACCCATCCCGGGTTCACCATTCTCTGTCAACGTACAACGCGCCTCCGATCCCAGCAAGTGCCGTGCATATGGTCCTGGTTTGGAGCAAGGCATCACGGACAAAACAAACTATTTTACGGTGGAGACTAAAGGTTTGTAAGCCAATAATTCGATCAAATTCTTAAAATGCTGTAATTTTATACTACCTACAAATTGTATAATTTAGAACGTATATAATAATTATCATATAGAAGAGGGGAAATATTTTTATGTAGCGAAGGTAGGAGAAATAGCATGTATGCAATCTTCTTTCAGGGGCTGGTAATGGTGGTTTGGGTGTGTCGATTACGGGTGACGGAGAGGTCAGAGCGGAAGCCAGGGAAAAATGGGATGGTTCCTGCGATGTCGAATATGTTGCCAAGGAATCTGGTGACTACGAAATCGATATTAAATTTGCTGAACAGAGCATACCCGGTTCGCCGTTCAAGATCAAAGTTATATCACCGAAAAAGAATGTGATCGCTTACGGACCCGGTCTGCACATGGTACGCGAGGGTGTGCCCGCCAAGTTCACGGTAGACGCATCAAAATGCGACAAACAGGCACCGGTGAAAGTACGCATGTCGCCTAACTTGGGACAGGAGCCTCAGATCAAGAGCAAAGGTGACGGTCTGTACGAGGTGACATATCAGCCACCGCCTGCTGGAAGTAACGTGCGGCTTGATGTTACTTTCGATGATGACAACATCAACGGCAGTCCGTTCGATGTGAAAGTTCTGCCCTTCGTAGAGCCAAACAAGGTAACTTTATCGGGTCCCGGGGTGGCGCCCTTTTGCACTGCCTCCTTCCCGATTGACTTCATCGTGGACACTTCTAATGCTGGTTACGGCGATCTTGAAGTGCAAGTTGTGGTAAGTGTATAGGGTCTCGCAAAGTGTTTTGTATTAATTATCCCGCTTGACTCTCATTGCCAATTTATTTCTTTCTATTCCTATTTTGTATCAAACATTTAATATTCTATATTTATATATTTGGTTTTGAATGACAAGAAATAGAAATTTATATGTTTTTTTTTAAATAGCCTTAAACTTATTAATATTATTAAAATTCATTTCTTCAGATAAATATATAAAAGGTTCTTGCAAATATTGCTTCGTATCAAAACTATCAAGAGAATAAAACACAATTAAATTACAGATTACAAAACTTTTTCTAAATACATTTTTTTTAATAATTTTGGAAGCCTACACTAAATCATGAATGTTGGTGAAACTATTATAAGCAGTTATCCGACATTTTAAATTGTTATTAAATAATATCTTATTGACAAAAAACATGGACGTTGAATAATATATATATATATATATATATTCTAAATGAAATAATCATCCTTTTAAAATTCAATTACTTTTACAGAAATTTTTAGTTATTTTTAATTATAAAGTCTTCAAAATATAATTATTTTATTTTTTTTATTCGCACACAGTATCGGTGATACAACAAAAATGTTTGACAAATTTATTTTATAAAATATTTATATCATTGTACACTTATGAAAATATATTGTATATATTTGCCAAATTGGCAATTAAAATTGATTTAACCTTTATATCTGAACATATTTGAACTTGATAATTATTAATAGGTATTTAAAATTATGTAATTACATAATCTAACACAAAAATTAGATGTTCATTAATTTGCATTAATATACGATATGTACAAAATAAGAAAACATATAAAGATTATACAAGACTAAGCTATTCCTTCCAAACTGTAATAAAATGTGTGATGGAAAAACACATAAATTAAGATATATGAGATCTAGAACTGCGTTCAAGAGCTAGCACAACCTCTAACCTGCTCGCCGAATGATTGAACATAATTGGGTCTTTTTTATAGATTCAATCAATCACATTCAACTGCTCGGCAAACAGTTTAATTGCTTTGTCTGGTTTAAATATACTGTGAATGTTCTTAATATCGTCAATAAGCTGACCTATTATATATATGTTTTCGTACTTTGATAAATTGTCCAAATTGTCTCTATACTACTTACAAATATGTATGTACAATCAAAACTTTCGTTTTTACCAACCATCATAGCAGTCAATCGTATTTATTATTATATTCAATTTGAACGCAAATATAATCAGTGTCGTGGCTATAACGAGCAATATAGGTAGTTCTAAAAATTACAACTTAATTTGATTACTCTTATAAGAAAGTTATCTAGAAAGATTTATATTGATCTACATACTAACAATTAAGTGACTCGCGAATAATTAAACAAATTGTATGAGCAATCGTCCTTATTTATATTTTCTCAATTAACGCTCTTCCTGAATTCTTCTTTCAGGGACCGGATCAAGTGCCGCGTAAGGTAGTAGTGCAGGATCTCGGCGACGGAAAGTATAAGGCAACCTATCTGCCGGACGACTGCGGTCGCTACAAAGTCAACGTGAAATACGGCGGTAAGGAAGTGCCGAACAGCCCGGTGACCGTGCAGAGCACATCTATCGGCTCGGCGAACAATTGTAAAATCAAAGAGGGCATTCAGCACACTTTGGCTCAGGGCGAGGAATACTGCATTACCGTGGACACTGAAAATGCAGGCCGCGGAGCAGTGACCTGCCGCATCCGCTCCACTACTGGAAGGTGAGCATCCGCTTGATTCGCTCCGATTTAAATTTGACTATTTTGGAGAAGATGAATCAGAGAGAGGAGACATTGCGGGAACCTTTCAAATTTACTCTCGTTACCAAAACGTTCTTATATTCGTTCTTCTTTTAAAATCTGAGATTTAATTTGTCATCAAGTATATATAAATCACAAATGTTTTTTAATTTTTTTGTCATTTATAATTAGAATATATTTAAGAAATATTACTTTTTGGAAAAATATCAAATATTGGAAAAAATATTTAAGAAAGAAATTATGGATACTATATATGTGCTAATTAATCAGAAATATTTTATTTTTAATTTAACTTTATTTCGTCTATGCAGCTATTAATATTTTTTTTTATTATGTAATTATGCTTTTATTCATTTATTTTTATAAATAAGACTATTAGAAATAATACTATTTTTATAAGAAATACTAACTGATAGATAAATTCTAATCCTTTCATGCTTTCTATTTATTAAATTCCTCGCAAAATCTTTTTATTGTATAATATCTCTCAATAATAATATTCTTTGCACGTTATAACTTTTATACCTAACTACGAATAATCTTAGAATATATGTATACATGAAGGCAGATCATATTTTTCATACTTTCTTCGCATTTATATATCTTTCGATCTTCACCAAGCTTCCAGACAAAAATTTCATCTTATTTTAAATTTAAATACGTCGCGCCGTCGCGACTTATTTATTTTGAATTTATAGACGAACTTGAGAAAGATCTCTTACTATTATATCTTTCTCGATTTCTCGATGTATAAATATTGAAGAATTAATTATAATAAATTACTATTTTATCCTTTTCTGTAATGTTATATTATATGTTTCTTATACACAAAATTATATTATTACATTTTATATTTCTTTTATAATTATTTAATTTATTTTACAAATTTTAATTATCATAATAAGTTAGTTTTCTGAATAAATAGTACATATGCACTATAGATAAATAGATATATGTATTGTTTGCAATTAAATGATAAGGATTGCTATAAATATAAATTAACGAATAGATCAACTAAACAAATTTAAAAAAAACAAATAAGAAACATAAACAATAAAGACATGTTACATTTTGCTGACTTACAATCGTATATTGGGATTGATCTGGAGTGTAACGGCATGACTAATCGGCCGTAAATCGTGTAACAAATCCGGTAGGATTCAGGTTCGTGGCACGTTGCCACGTTGGTGAACGTCATGTACGAGGTGATAATAAGTGGATCGTCGTGAATCTTCAACCAGTCGCATATACTGACTATGCCGACATTACCGATTACCATATCTAACATTGAAATTAAACGTCGGTTTGGTTTAATTTTGAAAGCGAAATATACTTTTAATAAAATTTGATGTCGACAGCAGACGAGTCAAGAGGATTATTTAGGAAACGAGATTGATTTCACAACCACAATTATATGTAGATATATATATATATATATATATATTTTTTTTTTTCAGCAATGATGCTCCATTGCTAACAGAAATGAGAAAATTATTTTTGTGCAATATTCGCGTCTTTCGAAATTACACTAAAAAATATTAAATTTTAATAAATATTTGTTTGAATAGTTCTAAGTAAATATATTTACTAAATATATATTTATTTAACACAAAAATCATTAATTTTGATTCAATTATTATTTGTTTTATTGAGTAAATGTTTATTTAACTGTAAGTAAATATTTATTTAACATGTAACTATTTAAAGAAATATATATTAAGATTGATTTAGTGAATTTTTTCCCAGTATAGTTATATCATACTCATAATATGCATTTGTAATTAGATTATCGTCAGATTAATAAATTATATAACGTTGCACATGCTTTTCTAATTGTCACAACTGATGCCAGATTATAGATCACTTTACATACTCTCTTTAATCACATTGGCGAATTTCGTAGTAAAACTTTGTTTCAGACATTTGTTCACCCATTTGTTTTATGATGACAATTGAGTCGGATTTGAATTAAATTTAACTTTACAATGTTATTTGACACATAGCTGTTCAGCAAAAATTTTCTAACATATTGAAAAAAATTGTAAACTATTACTCTCTGCAAATATATAAATATAATTGCAAATATATTACACTCTTTGTATCACATTTATATGAATTTATAACAAATATCAGAAAAAATATCTAAGAAATTAATAAAGTTTAAGATATAATTTTGATTACATTACTATGACATACAATTAAGTGATAAATCTTATATTATATATCAGAAAAATAATTATATTACTACTTAAGACTACTTTTTAAATTTTTTACAATCAAAAAAATTTGCTTGTAGAGATGGACGTTATAATGCTATGCATCTTCACGATGTCCTTCGTGAATATTTCGGGATATTTTCTAAAGAACATGTGCATTTTCTATCTTACATATCGCGTGCTTTTATGCGTAATCGGGCGCGTGCCCTCTAAAAGATTGTCACAATTCTAATCAATTCGACTATAAATGTATTCTGAATGCTGACAGTAGTGTACACAGCTGCTACCTCATAATTCATCTGTGATATTCCGTGTTGTTCGAGTTGGCAGTGTCTTCTGTCGAAAAGACACTTTAAAACGGGCCAAATTCTTTATCCCAAGTGTACAAAATGACAAGATGTCATATTATATATGTCTGGTATTTCCTATAATAAACACAATTTTACAATTATATTTTACACGACCGTGTCATAACAGTTAATAATAATTTAATGCAGTACGTGAAAATATTATGTAAATGTAATTTATTATCCGATTTTATTTTGTACATTCTACGAATGTTGGTTTTTATGAAAAATCAAATTTTTTTGATGAAGAAGAAAAGTATTCAGATGAATTACGCGATCTAGATGTTACAAAAACATTTCTCAGTAGAACTTTTTAAAATATTTTTTTATATTACTTCATCATTATATTACTCCGTATTAATCCACATTTTTCATCACTATATATAGACGGATGTAGAATTTAAATTTAGTTTTCATTACGAAAAAGAATTTTTAAAGAAAAGGGCTTTTCTTAAGTTTCTTACTTTAGATTAAAAAGAAATCTAGACAATTGAGAATGGAATCGTGTGAAAGCATTTAGTATTTATATAACTTATTACTGAGAATGAAGTGATGATTTGCAGTCATGAAAATATGCGGCATGCACGAACATTTCTTGAATGGATCTCCGTTCTATATTTCAATCTGTGAATAATACGTCTCGGTTTGTGATTTCAGTGAAGTCGTTGACATTGACATAGAAGACAACGGCGATGGCACAGTCAACATTTACTATACTGTTGCTGATGCGGGAGACTACACCCTTAGCATTAAATTTGGCGGTCAACCGGTGCCTGATGGATTCTATACCTTCACAGTGAGCAATTACAATATTTTATAATCTATCTTGCGAAATCATTATCCTTTTACATTTGTTTGTACAAAATTAATATAAAAAACTAATAATGTTTGAAGTTTACGTGAAATTCTTTATTCAGCAATGTACATTTTATGATCAATAATAAAAAAAATAATTGAAAATTAAAATTTCTATAACTAAAATAATTTTTTGGAACTTTCTTGAAAATTGTTTGAAAGTTTTTAAAAAGATTTATCATTTTTATATATTTTTGTTATTTTTTAAATTAAATTAATTGCTATTTTAAATTGTATGTACCATATTAAAGAAATTCTTGAATTTTTTCCATGTGTATTTATAATATAAAGTGTTTCGGCAAATATGCCAGGTCCATCCAGTAATGCAAAATAATTACAAGGAGATAGACTGTAAAACGCTAATAAAATTACCGCATTTTAATATTATTTAATGTTTCCAAAATTTTTTCTATAAAACAATATATGATGAATACGAATTTAGAAGTCAAGTTTAAGTTTAATGTTTCAAAATATACTAATATTTTTGCAATCAATTAACAGTTTTTAACACGAGATCTAAGAACGGAACGACGGATGCGTCTTGTAACTTCGTTTTAAAATATTTTCTCTTGTAAATCGGTTTCCTTTGAAAAGTCGTAAGACAAAGGGTAATAATACGTAAAACTTCCTCGTAATCGGCTTCCCGATGTCGATCCGGATGCCCGGTGCTCTCGTCGACGACGAGCCCCGGGTGGGTGGGGCGCGAGGTGTATCTAACTATAGAGGCAACACGTACTGCAGGATATTGTCGCGTAGTCTCCAGTGAAACAGTCCACTGCGAAGACTCATCGGGACCGCATCCGCCGGCTCGTTATCGCACAAATCCTCGCCCATCATCACATGGACCGCCCATCATCACACGTCGCGCTGTAACACGAATTCCGCTCCAAGTAACACACACATGCATACATCTTTATCTCTCGCTATATCTTCTCTATCTTTGCACATCCCTTCCCATCTTACAGATCAACTGTGTATATGTGTATGCATGTGTATCTGTGCGCACGCGTGTGAGTGCTGCCGTCATCAAGTGGTCCAGAGTGCCTCCGATCGTAAATGCTGGAACGCCATTAACCTGCTAAAAGTGGACAGTCACGAAGAACTTTTATTAATCCACATGATGTTTTAATCAAAACCTATCTAATCTAATTCTGTAAACATTGAAAACTTTTTCTTTCGAAATACGAACATTTCGTAATTTAAAATGAGTTAAATAATAATCCCATACAAAGAGCACATTTTATCCCACGAGATCTTTGTGCGAACGTTCTCAAGACGTTGGAACGATTTCAGGATATCTTTCAGAATGTTTCTTGAAGATCTCTGTGCTACATGGGAATATGATCAGAAATACATAGTTTTTACATTTTTTTACCAATTTAATCTTTTCTACTTATGTTTTATAATAAATAAACGTAATTAAATATTATTTTTTAAATCTTTTCACTTATTACATATTTTTATCATGTATTAATACAAACAGATATATACGGTCGGACATTGTTCGCCTGTTTATT